CTTTTCTTTAGTATGGCAGGAGGACTGAGATACTCATTTTTAACTTTAAGAGGAAAAAGCAAGTCTACGCAATCTGGGGATGAAGAGAATGCACTTCTCGAGTCAAAGTGTTAGTCAAAATACCTGCTTTGAAAAAGATTGAGGACTTAAACAAGTATGTGCTGGAACATATTTGGAATGAGGAAAAAAAAATCTACCTCAGTTACCACAGATCTGCACACATCCCATTGGTTCAGAAATATTTTTGCACACCATATTTTTTACACATGGACAAGTTTAATTTTTAGCTTATTAAAAAAAAATAAATAATGTGATTATTTATAAGAACAAATGCCATACATGAGCAAATCTCAAGTTATGAAGTTTTTAATTCACCTGGACTTTGGTGCTACTTGTACCCAACAATCTGTTAGTTCTGCCTCAGTTTCTGTCTTCTCTTTGAGGAAAAACTCCCTGCAAGGATCATAAGGCTTGATTCACCATTGCCTTGTGCCATATATAATCTCTGAAATCAGTGAAGAGACAAAAGATGCTTGTGGCTCAGAATGATTTCACGTATGCACTTACTACTCACTTGTATAAGTGACTGTAGAACATATGGATCAAAGGAGAGATGTGCCCCGAGATTGTTCTGTGTGTACGTGTTGACTGAAGAACTCAGGATATGGCCTAGTGTGTTTGGTATGCACTGTGTAGACATTCTCTCTCAGTCTTTTCCTCATTCTCCGTAACATCACAGCATTCTGCTGCTGTTGTCACTGTTGTTACAAGTGAATCGTCATAACTTTGCTGCAGCATTGAGGAAAGAAGGAAACTTGGAGAGGCTCTTTTAATAATTAAAGAGATTTTTTTTTTTTTGACAGAGCCAGTACCAAGCAGGTAATTTAGAGAGATAACAAAGGTAACTCTATTTTTGTGCAGGTACAGTCATCATTTTATATCACAGTCCTCTTCTCCAATGTTTTGTCTGTAATTACTAATTAATGCTGCACAGAAGTGGTGTTACAAACTACAAGTGGTATAACTAATTGATATATGGAAATCTAACTGTTGTGTTTCAATGGGAAGAAAGAATCTGCATCTTACATATGCAGTGAAAGTTTTTTTGGTACTAATTTATGCTCAAAATTCAGAGCAGGTGATCATGGCAAACCTGAGAGTTTGCTATATCCGGCAAGGTGAGTCCAGTGGTTCAAAAAAAAGTCTGGACTCTGATGGTTTCTGTTATTACTTAGGACAATAAAAGCATTGCTCTGTATTCTCACTTCCTTCTCTGAAAATACAGCAGATAATGTTTACTTGCATTTCTGAGGTTGTAGTGTTTAGCCTTTGAAGCTAACCTTAGAAGCACTGCAGCACTGGAGGACAGCAGGTTTTCAATTCCATACAAACATGAGCCAAGATTTTTTTTTTAAATAGTCAAATCAAAAGAAGTTTTTGGAAGACTTTGACATGGAACCAGGATGATGTCATGACTTGTATCCCAGTTTGAATTAAAATACAGAAAAACATGAAAGGCATTATGTGATGTGTTACACTTGAATGACCAGACTGGATTAAATCTAACAAACCAGAAGCTTCAGGGACTGCCTCCGCTGCCCACTACCTGCATGGATTCAAATGGTAAGAGGAAGAGTGACTGCTGATATTAAAAGTGTTTATTAGTAATTAGCAAACACAGTCAAAGTGGAAACAGAAATCTGGGCTATAAAGTTTCTCACGGCAGGCTATGAGATTGACTGGGGTTTTGGGCAGTCTGATCTAGTGAAAAATGTCCCTGCCCATGGAATGGGATTATCTTTAAAGGACCCTTCCAATTCAAACTTTTCTGTGATTCTGTGAGATGTGACTTATATTGTCTACCCATTGAGGAGCTGTGCAAGGGATGGGTTACTACATATGTTTGAGAGATCTTGTGTTTTAAAGGATTTCCTATGTACTTAAAAAGCGTTCACTATTTTGACTATAATACTAACGAATACATAATGGCACCTACTAAATAAGTTTCCACAAAGGAATAACTGTGTACATTTCATTGATTAATATTTTGCTGTACATTTATAAACAAATACAGAGTGTAGTTTCAATTGGTTTTTCATTTCTGTGTAAATGGACAATTGTAATGATTTCAAGTACACATGTAGGACATAAATATTTGCTTTCTATAGGGTCAACTTCTGGACTATAGTTGAAGAATTTTTCAGAAGTTCATTCCATACTGTAGTGGAAATAATTTTATTTATTTTTTTATCTGTATCTTGATTTTGAATTCCTTCAGGCTTGGACTTACCTAACATACGGACCTGGCTCTCAGTCTTTTTGACAGTATTATTCAAATGGTTAAAAAGATTAGGAATAATCAAAATTAGGTATTATGTAGAAGAGCGTGCAAGTGATTGCATCCTTTCACAGATCAATTCAGCTTCAGTCACTTACTATTTTTCTTCTGTATCTGCAGAGATAATATTGTTCCAGTAAATGTACTGGTTGAAACTCTGGGAATATGGATTGAACCAGACACAGTTTTTCATGTTAGAATTTAGCCAATTACTGAAATGGCTATTCAGAACCTCCAGCTAAGCAATTTAAGCTCTCAGTTAATAAAGCAGTAATTTAAAACTGATTTCTCATACGATACATCTGTAGGTAATCCTGCTCTTTTCTACAGATTTCATGTTAGCTTAATGTAATATTCCAACAGTTGTGAAACTATCACTTCTTTGCTGTGTGAAACTTCAGTTTCTTTCTTTTGGAACAATTGAAAAATGGTTACAGAAAACTTAAGTCTACAGAACACATATTTAAGCACTAGTAGGTGACCTAGTTTTAAGAAATAATTGAGTGACTTCTGAAAGTCACATTCCCTTAAAAAAGTGCCTTATGGTCACATAATGCTAGCTACAAAGCTTGATTTTCAGAAGTCACTTCCATACTTCTAAAATTTAAGTTTTACAGGTGACAACGTGTGTCTACAAGGAACTTAAGTATGGTAACAGAAGAAGATTAAAAAACTTCTGAAAGCAAATTTAAATTAAGCAGTAACTGGATTGGAAAGGAACTTTGGACTGTACATTAACCTGTTCACTCTTGGTTTTATAGGATTGCTTAGCAGCAGACTAACTGTAATGGAGTGAAATGAAGAGAGAGAAAGTACAGTGGCTGTCACAAGAAGCTTTCTAGCCATGCACTGTGTAACATCCTTGCAGTGATTCCTGTGAAAAGATAAAAGGAATACCTCGGGGGAAAAAAAAGTAGACTGGGCTGGATGAACAATTCCTTGAATTCAAAAGGACTGTTTTGTTGTTGTTGTTGTTGTTGTTGTTTTTCTTCTTGGATCTCAGCCTGATTTACAAGTATTAGGCCCAGCACAACATGTGTTTCAGACTTGTAACCAGTCTCTGGAAAAGAAGTAAAATTGCAAGGGAGTGTGGGCAGAGCTGGAAGTGCAAAAGTGAAGACCTATAGCTGTGGACTTTGTGATTCTGTAGTCAAAAATGGTGTTTTGTTTTGTTTTATTTTAAATTTATTTAAAGGAGGTATTCAGCAGCATTGTTGCATATGAAAAGGCATAGCACAGCTTGTTCAGATTTAAAGTTTTCCTTGAGTAGTGAATGACTCTTCGGGGAATTTGTGATTGTATGTAAATATTTAGGAGAAATTTAGTATTCAGACCATTTTTAAGACTGGCCTTACCTGTGGAGTAAAATGAGGTGTTAAGATATAGAAAACAGTATGAATTTTTAAGGGAGATTAAATATCAAGAAACTGGCTTGTTGTTAAGATAGTAGTGTTTTTTATATCATTTTGTTACAGTTAATGTTACATTCCTTGTGATTCAGGCATCATCTCTTCTCTTTAATTCATCTGTGTACGTTGGTTTTCTGACCAAAGGTGTCAGTAATGTGACACTTGATATACATTGCTGCTCTTCAGTTGAAGATTTCTGGGTGTCAGAGATTCAGATTAAATTTTAAAGATGCTTCATCTTAAATGTGAAAGAATATCATTGAAGTATATATACAATTTTTATTTTGCCTTATTGTAAGTGCATGTATAACCATCAGTGTTCCTCTTCTCCAGTTTAAGTTGGTCTTTGAAGAATGCGTATTTCAAACTGCCACTGCAAAGAAGAGTAAATGTTTCTGTGCCTTCCCTGAGATTTTCCATGTTAACATTAAAACAAACAAACAATCAAACAAACAAACAAACAAAAAAACTATTTGTGTGAATTTAATTAATTGCATTTTAATATTACTTTGTATTTTCAGCTTTCCAAAAATTTCATGTTGCATTAAGGTGCTGTTCTTGACACTGCTTTTTAGCATTATGTTTTTGATCCATGTCCTCAGCTTTAACACTAGTTCCAATGTATTTTGGTCAGAAAACTGGAAGTCCTGTTGCCTTGTTAATATCTTACTGTAGTAGTTTGTGCCATAATTTCACCATCTGTAAAATGGGTATTAATCTCTTACCAGAAAGCTTTTTTGAAGGTAATATAATATTGCTCCTTCTATTAAATAGGAAGAATTAGATGTCTTTATTACCCATTTATTATTTTGTCTTCAAATGTATTTTTCTGGCCTAAGCACAAGTTCAGTGTGAACTTGCCCTGGAAGTCTCTGGACTGGGGCTTAACTCTTCACCACTGTATGAAGTAGTGCTGTTGTGTTATCCTCAAGGTCTGGAGTATTCTTATCCAGGGTTTTGGTTTAGACCCATCTTCAGTCTCTACGATTCCTAAGCAACTACAATAAAAATATTTTTATTCTTTTTGTTCTTGTGTAACCTCCAGAAAAGGAATGAAACCTTGCTACTAAAGCAAGCACCAGAAGTCATTGCTTCATTTTGATAGTTTTTTTTCAGTCGTTTGCAAATCTGTGTGTAATGCAGAGACGTTATTCTAGTCTAAACTCTGGGCATTCCTCGGAGAAAACAGGTCACGTGCCCTGATTAGAATTCTCCCTTCTCTGCCGGTGCCCGGAGACTGGCAGCGTGCTGGGAAGAGGCATTTCCCAGGAGAGCGTTACCCTTGCATGCATGCTAGCTTGCTGCCTTCTCTCACCATGGAAGACTATCAGCATCAGCTGCTGACAGTTATTGGGGGACTGATCTGTTTCTGTGCTCTGGTAAAATGCATCAGATTTATGAAATACGTTTTCCCACATACCTGGAGTGCTTTGCCTCAGGCTTTCTTTCCGTCGCTGGGAGAATGGGCAGGTAATGCAAACTTTCTTACCTTCTTCTTGTAGCTGAGTGATGAATTGTTACGTTACTAACTGGGAGAGGTTTTCCTTTCATTCTTGCCCTGTCCCTTCAGAACAGAACATGATTTCCACTAACTGAGTCTTGCTTCATTTCTTTTTTGTTGCCTTGTAGTAGCTTCAGGTTTATGAGCCTGAAGATTTTGCCTCCTTGGTGAGAAAAGAAAAATAAACTGTTAACAACTTGCACCCATGGTGTATAGATGTGAATTTTCTCCCCATTCCTACTTGTGATGTTTTTTTCTCCACTGGAAATGCTTTATTTTTGATAGCATTGCCTATATCCTCAATTTCCTTCTAGTATCCTAGTATATAGCCTCCATTCTTCAAAGCAACTTGTCTTTGTTCCTTGTGACTTTGCTCCAGACAATTTTCTGTTTTTTTTTTTTTTTTTTTTTTTGTTTTGTTTTTTTTTTTTTTTTCCAGAACTGATGACTTATCCTTAATGGTAGCATTAACAAACCAAATCTACTTTTGCCTAAAAACTACAAAAGCTGCAACTTGGCAGTGCTTTTTTAAAAGACATTACATATTCTCATAAAAATAACAGAAATGTTTAATAAACATGTTCTTCCTACTGAACACTGATGTTTTTCTTAGTCTTGATAAATTACTGGTATGAAGAAAGAATGAAAAGGTATTACAGTTTCTGAGTTCCTGGGCTACAGATGTCACTGATGGTGGCCTCTTGGTAAGAGGTGACCCCAAAAGTGCTCTTGTGCTTTCTTTCTTGCCGCCATGCTAGCAACTTGATGTCACTGCATAGAGTATATGCTTAACAAGCACTTTCACAGTGGATTAAGAAGAGATTAAATCCACCCCTTTACTGAAGACCTGTCTAAACACCAAGTGCTTCTGAAATAATGCACAGGCATTGTGTTAATGCTAGTCAGGTATAGACCTCACCTGTGTGTGTGTGGTGAGGAGCACTGTCTGGAACCCTCTCTGTAAAATCCTGTTTCTGTTGAAGGCATTCTTCATTTCCTTTGGTGGACCTTGCGTGCTCTGTCCTTCTACAAACACTAAGGTTTCTCAGCCTAGTAACGTTAATTAGACCTGACTGATTTGCTGCATCACATGGCACATGAGCTCCTGAGAATTGTGAGAATGAAAGTTGGAAGCTTCTTTTCCAGTGAGTGCTTGCTTTTTACCTGCAGGCTTACTAGGAAGGTAAAAATCCACTGCCTCCTCACCTCTGTTCTTTGTGAAATAAGAAGGTAATAGCTCTTCTGTTGGCAGTGATCTCAGCTGTTCAAATTCACCTTGCACTCCCGGTTTCTTTTGCAATTTAGAAGTTCTTAATCCATGTTTTTTTTAGACACTGACCCATTTTTAATTTTGCTTTGAAAACTTATGAGGTGTATGTCAGAATTGCTTTAGTGCTTGCCTACTTTACTTATTTCTTTCTTGATAAGAAAGGTGATAAACTTTTTCTTTCTATAGTTCCTCTTTTTACTTGCTTGCATAATATTTAAAGATCAGGATGCTTTACAAAAGCCAAGGCTTGTTTACTTTCCCAGTGACACTAAATCCAAAGGTAAACAGTGAGTCAGAAAGCTCTGGGAGAAGAGTATTTTATAGATGGTGGTTAGGTTTTTCCTTGCAGACAAGAATTCTTGCATGAGAGAAGTATCACTTCAGCCACTAGTATCAGCTTCAGTCACTAGTTACTCCTTATCTTCTGCTGTACTGCCACAGACATACAAGCTAAAAAGCTGCAAAACAGAACACGTGAAAATGTGTGTACAGAAGACAACTCTACCATCTCATAGGAAATGGACTTGTTGCTGAGTGTTTCCTCATTGAATAATAGCTAGCTACTGCATAGGTTACTCTGAGGAGGGATTTGCTCTGAAGACAAAAAATGCTAAGTGAAGTAACAAAAAGATGAAAAAGTCAAGTCACAAGGGATTAAGTGGGGGAGGGCTGAAGGGGGAGAGAATTGATTCTGTGCTTTGCTAGAAGCATTTTGGTAATGTTCAAGAAATGCAGAACAGTAAGTTTAACAAATTCAAGAAAGAAAAACCTACAGTAGAGCAACAAATATAATCCCTCTTCTTTTTACTTCCTCCAGTGGTCACAGGAGCAGGAGATGGGCTTGGAAAAGCGTATTCATTTGAGGTAAGATAGATTACACACACTTAATTTTATTTTAACAAAATGGCAATTGCTACCCTTTACCAGTCTCCACAAGTTACTAACAAAATTCTAGGATTCAAAGCCAGTGTGACAAACATAGTACTAATCCTTCCCCTCTGTATGTGCAGAATAACATTAATCAAGTTCTGCAAGGAAACTGGTGTTGCATTTCAGAGGAAAGTCATTCATGCCTTACTGGTCTCATCAGTCCAAAGAAATAAAATGGAAACACTGAATAATCCAAAAGATTTTGTGTAGTCTATCCAGAGTGGGAAGTCTCCTAGGTTATCCCTTTTTAATCCCAGTTTCACAGCTAATGTGCTTTTAGTCTTTCACTGAGGTTGTCCAGCATTAAAAATAAAAATAAAAAATGTATTTTGTTAGTTGCAAAGTTGCAAAGAAAAGTCTGAGAGTCATATCTGAAATAATAAAGGATAACTCTATGCAAATGAAAACGAACTAAAAATTATGGAAAATATAATGAAATATATATGGTTTGATTAAGCATTGGTAGCTTCATGAGTCTGTAGGAGGAGGAAGGAGAGAGCCACAATCAGCTCTGCGCTGTTGTGCAGCCACTACATTTCACTTCACTGATATCACACATAACTGGTGACAAGGCAACCTTGAAGTTGAAATATCCAGAAGTTACTGTCTTCAGAGCTGAGACAACAGGGTGAAAATTAGCAGCCTTTAATATGTGAGAGCTTAGATTAGATGTGCTGCCTTCTGATGTGATACATTATATAAAAAAAATCTTTCATGGGAAAACACATTTGCCTTTGATTTAGTAGGTTGGATTTTTCAAAGCCAGCTTTCATAAGCATATGCGTTATTTACTTTAATCACCTGATTTTGATTACTGGGGGTGGCAATACAATAAGTACTTTTGAAAGGGTGTTGAATGTAGGAAGCACAAAGATACCAGGTGTTGTGTATATATCTATGTATAGTTTAATATTTGTAGTTTAATATCTGTCATAGTTGTGATAAAGATCACATGCTCTCCTGTGGAAGTGAAGGGAAAATGCTACCTTCTGTCTATTGACTGAGCTGCTGTAATGCTGAGCAAATGGCAAGGGTCTGCAGATGCAGCTTACTGAACTAACCCCGTATGGGAGCACCTGGTGATATTTCAACCATGTGAAGTTTGCAGGCACCTGAGAGTGTCTAGATCGGATTCTCTGTTTTTGTTCTGTCATATGGGTTATACAACAGTAAATCCCATTTAAAAGGCCATTCACGGCATGCGAATCATGAGAAAGTATAAAATAACTACTGTCTTTTCTTGAAAAAACAGTTCTTGGCTGGAACTGGCAAGATTTTGTGGAACATTTGTTCATTATTTTTGGCTTTTGTGTGATGACTGAAAGCCATCTTGATCCTCGCTGAGACGTACCTTCCTCCCCAGGTGGTCTCTTTGATTGAAGCTGTGGTCAGCTACTGCGCTGTGGGGCAGATCCCAAGCCCACACCACATGAGCTCATAGTTTGGCACGTCATCTCGCTGGCTGAGGTCAAAGCACACGCTTGTGTGTGGCTTGTGAATAAATAAACCCAAACCTGCTGTTTTAATGTCTCTGTGCCTTTGGAGTTCCTGGCTCAGTGCTGCTGTCTGCTGATCTGATGTCGGAGTACAAAGTTCTCTGATGTTCTGCTGGAACAGGTCCCGCTGGTATCGTGGGCCGATGGAGAGGCAACACACATCTTGTCTGTGGGCCCCGGGGCCACAGCGTCTCTTCCTCTGAGTTTGTGCTGCAGCAACAAGTGATGAATTTCCTTGAGACGTGGGCTGATAACAAGTTACAAACTAATATAGGGGCTCAGGCTCCTGTGGTACAGGCAGCTGAGGAGAGCAGTCTTCACGTTTTGGAAGACTAGTGTGATGTGGCTTTCTCTGCTCAGTGTTTCCTGTGGAAACTCGAGTTGGTGCTCGTGAGTACAGCCCAGGAGATAGAGGTTCAGGCAATGATTACAGTATTTACTGGGTCAGAACCCTTGTTTCCAAGGTTTATAGACAGATACAGGCCTCTGCGAAATCCATTAAGCTCAAGAGCTGTCTGGATCTGTGTGAGCAGCCAGGCAGCTGTGAGGTCTCAGAATACTGCTTTGTTAATGCCAGGACACAGATTTTTCAGAGCAAATTATTGTCCCTTTAGGTTCCTAAGCTTGTGTTGGCAGGCAGGCACACCTTGAGCTTATCCTCTCCTGCATGAAATTCCAGGCTTCTGAGAAGGCTCTGACTGTACTTCTGACATGTCAGGGTGATTTTGAAGGACTGGCCTTTGTGAACATACGGACCCCATCCCTTAAACTAACTACTGTGATGTCAAAGAGCTGGCTTTTGGATCTAGTTTGCTATAATTTTTCCAAAAGCCAGGTTTCTGTCTCAGGCTGTCATGTCTGAGAGATCCTTGACATCTCCACTCACTTGTTAGCACTTCAGGTACTGGTACAGGCTTGTTAGCTCTGTTTTCCTGATGTAACAGCAACAGAAGTGCTTTAGGATCTCCTCCTGGCTTAGCACCTCAAATATCCTGTTTGTATAGCCAAGGCCATTCCATATTCTGACATTTACAGTTTTACCTCTGCACACTTATTTTATGGCAGAACACAAGAAGGGTTTGGGGGACTGATGTGGTCACCTTTTACTTTTTTTTTTTTTCTTTTTTTTTGTGGTAATTATTAATATTTAATAACATGCTTATAAATCTAAAGGTATCTAAATCAATGTTTTAGCACACCACTTCAACCCAGGCCATTCTATGGTTCTATGATTTTGAGAAAGGCCTTGCATTCATTTATTAATGCAGCCTTTTTTGAAATCTCAAACCTTTGTCCTATTTCCTGAAATCCTATGCAATATTACCAACAGTATAATAAAAGCTAAATATGATCTGAGTTTTTCTGTTCCAGTTGAATATGCAGTCTAATTTCTCAAGTCGATCCTGGATTTATTCCTTGAAATACTGCTGATCCAGTTGTGTTGTACAGGTGCAGAACTAGCGGAAAGCTTTCAGAATCATCTGCCCTGTCTTGGCCTGCTGGACCAAAATGGGTTGAAGGATTTGAATCATAGGGATCCTTCAGGCCTGATTCCCAAGCAAGGGAAGAAAATAGGTGTGGTCCTGAGGAAGAGAGAAAATCTTTTAAGATTAGTAGAAAGTTATGGTAGGTGTGCACAGAATTATTATGAAGGATTTAAAATTATTATGTCTAATGATCCGTGTAGAGTATAACCAATCTGTCAGTATAGCTGCAGATACAGTTTGAATCTAAAACACTGTCGTGCCTCGCATGAAGCTTTATTGTCTGAAAATTTCATTTGCTGGAAGATTTACTTCAGACTGTAGCTGCAAAAACGTGCTGGAAAATACAGGGTGACTTCACATGAATTAGTGTGGGTTTAAGCTTTTTAACAGTGTTTTTGTGCGATTCCAGAACGCAGATCCCACCAGATCTCCCTTTAACATTAATCCCACTTCCAAAGGCTGAGATACCACACGTCTGTGGCTGCAAGCTGCAATACTGCTCCCGCGTGTCGGCAGCCTCAGAGGGCCGGGAGCATTTCGTCCCTTTGCCACTGGGAGTCAGAGTTTCCTCACCCAGCAGGTCTGCGTGGTGCGGCGCCGGGAAGATGCTTCGCGCTAAGGAAGTCTGCGCTAGAAGTTACTTTTCGTTTGCAATGTGGCTGTGTTAAAACTGCCGTGGGTGGCCAAGAAATTCCTCTTTTTTTTTTTTTCTTTTTCCTAAATACAATTCATTTTGTTTGCCTCGGGGGTGTTTTTGAATCACGTATGGTCATTAAAATGTCCCATGAAACTGATTTCTGAAGAGAATGTGTGCTTTCTATGTGGGTCAGGGGGCAAAAATAAAAGACTAGGCAGGTGTGCAAACATTTTTGTCTTGAGAAATGGCTGCCACAACTTTTTGCTTCTGGTTAGTCTGGTATACAAAAGCAGAGGTGAGTCCTCTCACCTGCCAGTTTGTGATTTTGTTTGCCACAAGTATATATGCTTTTGGCTAAAATACAACAGTCTTAGCAGTGGGTATCATTATTTATTTATTTATTTATTAGGAGGGATTTTTCCTCCAAACAAAGCACAGAGAGATATAGCTGAGATGACATTGAGAAGCCCAGTGAGACAGCTTTAATTTTATTTTATGTATGACATGTCTGTTATTTGGTCTTGAATCTAAATGCTCAAAAAATCAAAACAATCCCCATCCAAACACCCCCAAGTGACAGGTAAGAATAAGTGACCACAGAAGCAGGGACCATGTCTCCGTTGCTTTCAAGTGGATAGGAAACAGCTTGAGCAAAGCTCATGTGGACAAAGGGAAATTCGCCAGTGCAAAGACAATTAACGTTCTCTTCCTGAGTACCTCAAATACAGCCCTTAAAATAAGCTTTCGAAACTCCAGAGCGTCTGAGCCTCTGCATGTCTCCTTGGAGCACAGGACAATTATGTGAGAGGGTCTCCGAAAGCTCAGGATTGTGCGTGGTCTTTGTGCTGAAAATGCAAATGGTCGTGGCTTATACATTTAATAGACAGTCTGCCCCTCGTACTCTCAATGTAGTGAATTTTTAAACAAAGGTCCTTATTCCTTAACATTCTTTTCATTGTTTCAGAAGAGCTCAGTAGGACAATCTGCTTCCCTCAAATAGGTTTAAGGAGAGTGCATTGCAGGGAGTCAGCGACAGAAATGAATGGGTCTTCAGTGTGTGGGCTTTGCCAGTTCGTTTCTTGGTCTAAGCAAACATGGTACTTTCAGATGAAGTTGGCTTTATCTTTTGTGCTGACTGATTTAACTCTCTTCTCCTTGCTCCCATGGCTATTTTTTTTTTTTCTTCTGGTTTCAGCTCTATCTTTCGTTTCTTTGTGCACACAACTCTCTTCAACTGCTGCTTGTTAATACCTTAGTTTTACAAGCTGAGGGCATATTTTTCTCTCAGGTTCTGCCTAGAACTCTTTAGCTGATGGGAATGGGAGGCCTAGGGAAAACGGGAGAATACCCTTCTCTATTTGTTCTGCACATGGTAAGACCAAACTGACTATGGACTACTGTGTTATGTGCTGTTCACAGCTGTAAACTTCAACTCTTGCCAATATCTTTGTGGAAGTACCTTTGTGTGACTGTATTTTCAATTTTTATGCATGGACTTACTGGACTTTTTCACTTTTGCTTGTTTGTTTGTTTGTTTTTTAAGTTTGTATCTAATGAAAGAAACAAAATTTATCCATCTGTCCTGTGTGAGATTTTATTTCTACTAAGTACATATGAATAAATCCATATCCCTGCAAACTCTTGATTCTTCAGTTCAATGTGCTCAGTGTACTTCCTCAAGATAAAAAGCAAAATGTGAGGGTCAAAGATAGTGTCATCAACATATTTGTTTTCTAATGTTTTTCTGGGAAATGTCATGTTGTCTTCATTCCCTGTGAATATTCAGTCACTTGAAACAGGCTAGGGTTGTTTATTTTTTTTTGTATGTATTGAGTTTTCATTACTGTCCAGTGTGTTTTTCTCATAATGGTCCAAGATTATACAGAAGACTATTAGAATCCAAATCACAGACTATTAGAATCCAAATTAACGTTTGACCTGTTTTCAGTATCCGTTGCTTAACATTAGGCAGGTGATAAGTGACTGAAAACAATTAAGTAAATCTGTAATTTTTTTTTGTTGTAAAACTAGAAAAAATATCTTCTAAAAAAAATCTTGTCAATATTGACAAGTCTGAAAAGTCTGACAACTTTTATATTCTCCTCTTGCAGCTGGCAAAACGTGGATTAAATGTGGTTATGATAAGCAGAACTCTTGAAAAACTGCAGAGAGTAGCTGCTGATATCGGTAAGCGTTCATCTCAAACTTACTTTCCTGTTTAGTAGGCTGGCTTGGCAGGAACCTGGAGGTCTGTTTCCCTGGTACCGCATCTACTATTGGTGGGCCCCTGGTATTGCTACAGACTGAGCCCCAAGTATTGATGCAATATAACAGATACTTTGTTTGATGTCACTTTGTTTTTTGAACCCTTCTAGTCATGGACTACGTTAAATGTACATGCTCTAATTCAAACATTGCAATGGATTAGACACATTAAAAAACAAACAAACAAACAAAAAACCACGACTGTAGGTTCTGTACTGGCTTAAAACCTTTATTCACCTGAGTTTAAATTCTATAAGTACAGGCAAAGCAGATGTAGTGCTAGACTTGTCTGAATCATCTATGAACCAGTTTTTGCTCAGGAAAGATTGCCTTTAGACTAGTTCTTGGAATATAGTGAAGGAGGAGCAGAAATGAAATCATTGTAGCTGTTGTCTTTTTTTTTTTTTTCCTTTTAAGATTTACAAGTTCCATTTGGCTTTTGATAATGCAGTTAAATAGTTCATCTTTAGAATTAATGTTCCCTTTCTTTCCTGCAAAGTGGATAAGCCATTTGCCCTGGGGAATGGCTTGTTTAAATACATTAAGATTGACAGTTAGGATTTCTATAGGAGTCAAGTGAGTTTATATCCTCCATTAACTTTAGAGATTGTGTTAATCAGGGTTATTTTTCCCACAGTCTCTTCTTCTATACATGGCTTCCATCCACCGTGCTCCTTGATTTGCAGGCTCCTGTGCTAAGCATGTGTCACTTGGAGGTTTACAGCCCTGCCTTTAGGCAGGCGGGGCACCTGGCTGCAGCAGCACATCAGGTTTGGGGCGCTCATCTGCCGAGCATGCAGTGCATCTCCTAGGGAAGCTTCGGGAGCTCCTCCTGCTGAAGCAAGGAATTGATTGGACTTCTAATTCTAATTGGGCTTCTAATTTATTTGTCCATTATCCCCCTGTCTGCCTTCCTGGCAAGGCCGTGCAGTGCTGAACCCTGCAGCAGCACCTAGCCAAAGACCTACCCTGTCCTGGAAGGCACCAGTGTGGCAGCCCACCCTGTGCCAGTGGGCACCACAAAGTTTTGTTTTCCATAAAGTTTGCTGAAATTAGTGGCAGCTCTCAGTGAGATCTTTCCATTGTTTTCAGTGGGTTTTGGCTCATGCCCAGAGTGACTCATGTCTTATTGTGTCAGGCTGGAAATGGGTGCGTAACAACTAGTAGATGTCACAAACAAAAGGAAGAAGAGGAAGATATGGTGATGACAAGCAGAGAGCATCTGATCTAATGCATGGATAAAAAAAAAAAAATCAGCAGGGAGCGCTGGATGTGTACTTAGGTTAAAGCTTTGGAATGACTCCTCTGATTTCAATTTGCAGACTCAGGCTTTACTGTAATTAAACTAAACAGTTATTGGAAAGGAAGAAGAGTTAAATTTACTGTGATTTTATGTAAGTAAGTAAACAATGCAAACCAAAAATGAAGCAGAAACTTAACAGAATGCTTTTACTGTTTTCTAAATTCTGTAACTCTCACTGGCTTTTTTTTTTTTTTTTTTTTTTTTTTTTTTTTCTGAGCATCTTAAACAAGCAGAGTCTTACTTCAAGCAGTTATCTCTACCCTGAACTAACATGCAAGGAGATTAAGGCACAGAGAGATAGAGACACAAAAATTATCTCAGGCTACGTAAATATGTGGTAGGACTGTGCACATTGCTCATGTTTCCTTTTGCTTAACAGCGAGACTGTGTATCTTTTTCCGATGAGTTGGACACAGTAACTAGACGACTTGACTCCCTTCTCAACTTGATGACATTATTTGCGTAATTGTACTGTAGAATTCCATTCAGACACTGAATAATATAAACGAAAGGATGTTAACAAGGGTAATTCCAGAGGTCTCACTAGCTGGCTTTCAAACAGCCCTGTGGATTGTAGGGACGTCTGAGAGCAGCTCTCAGAAATGGAGCTTGCAGCAGACAGAAATCCACAAGCAGAAAAACCATTCTGCACTGGAACCAAAAGCCAGATTTCCACCTCAGTGTACCAGATGGCTTTTCCAGAACATGAGATAAAAGATAAAAAGTAAGTCTTGTGAGTGCAGATGGAGATATCCACTGCACCAGGTATACTGCTTATTTAATATGTTTACTGTTGTGGTTGTAAAGCCATTGACCAGGAGATTAGATATGATGGAATGCTATTGGATGTACTCCTTCTTATTTGTCTTCTTACACTTCCTAAGCAAGCTGTACAAAGAGAGCTAGATCCTGATAGAGAAGTTATAACCCTAGAATTGGTTTATAAGACCAGGGCCTGTACTTGTTCAGCTGTTAAATCACGCCAACAACTACAAAAAGACACCTCTGTAACACATTAATATATTAGCCACAAAAAGATATCTATCTATCTATCTATCTATCTATACAGGTAGATATACATATATATATATATTTATATATATGAAGAAACAAGTTTGCATTTAAAGAAAGAAAGTGCTTGATCCTCAGAATGCAGTTGGAAGTACAGCTACATCATTTTAGACTACTGAACATACAGGTCATGAATTTGGATTTAGTGATTAGGTGAGTAGTTTATCAGAGTTTCCCTGCAGAAATCACATCCGCTGCTGTAGAATAAAGCAGCAAATACAAAAATCACTCCACTGAATGGCCAAGAACCAAATGTGTCTCACTCCCACTAAGTCTGGTAAAGGTACTAGCTGTGTCTAGCTGTCCCCAGTACTACACTCTGTCCTTCACTTCTCCTTCCAGAGCTGGCTCCAATAGCTAAGCAGGTAATAAGCTGAGATCACTGAGGGTTTTTATTAATAACAACAAAAAAAAACTCCCTTGGCACATCCTTCCTTTTCCATTAAAGGTGGTTCAGCATACGTGTTTTGTCTTGCTGATCACTTGGGTTAAAGCGTGACTGCTTAAGGCTGATTTCCCAATGCACACTACTACTGCTACATAACAGAGCACCTCAGGGCCTTGACCAATATTTCTGAGTGCTCTACTGACTAATAGTAATTCCCAAGGCTTTTTTTCTTTGTTGCTCACTGAGTTCATGTTCTCTTGTATCTTCTATCATCTATTGCAGTTCTATTTTTATCTTCATTCTCTTTGTTTCTTCTCTGTTTTCCTTTTATTTTTGAAACTGAGGTTTATTATATTTCTGAGGAGATACATTTCTTTAAAAGACAATCAAAATGTAGCCAGAAATGTAGCCAGAGCTTGAAATTTATAATTTTACAGAACTTTTAATATTTCTCCTGTCATATTTTTTTAGCTTCTTTTTGTTGTTTAATTAACATCTTGTTTTGCTCTTCTCTCTGCAAATTTCTGCTGAACATGAAGCCTGAATGCTTCTATTGCATGTTCAGATTTTGTAATAGCACTTCAAATGTGTCTCCTATTGCTACACAGATCAATTCTTGTGTAACTCAGATATTCATTTTGCTACCTCAGGTTTCCTGAAGATTTCCTGAAGATCTTCCTAACTCTCCAAACAGAAAGGGAGAGTTTCTGGCAGCCTTCATGTTCTAACCAACTTCATGCTTCTGCCAGATTTATTCTCTTCTTAGTAAATTTCAAGAGGCAGCATGTTATCCTATCTGATAAGTAGGATTCCCAAGTGGTCTGAGATCAGAAGGAGTTAGATGATGTTTAGTTAGTTTAATGATACATTTTGTAACACATCAGATGAAACAATACAGCTCAGGTTTTTAATTTTCCTTTTTTCTTTTTTTTTCTCTTTTCTCTCTCTCTTTTTTTTTTTTTTTTTTTAAGGGAATAACCTATTCCGATGTTTAAAAACCTAGGTTCTTTGCTTCTGGCACATTTAGGACTTTGAAAAAGAGTTGGAGTAGTTTTGGTCTTCAAAGACTAATGTAAATCTTTGTCACAGAGAGGGAGAGACAGAAGATACTTGGAAAATATTTTTCGTCTTTCTCCTATATAGACTTGTTATCATTTTCTAAAGAGCTATCCCTGGATAATTCATTTATGAGCATGATAGATTTATTTTATTTATTTATTTTATATATATATATGTGCTGCTTTATTCTTAAATGAGACAGAGTAAAGCCATCTGGAGTACTTTGTTTGTTGGCTGCGAGTGCTGGTTGCAGCAGCGCATTTGTGTGCCGACAAGGGGATGCAGAGAAAGGCCAAATGGTTTGTTTGATCCTAATTTTTATGCTGCTGTAGTTTTGGCTGCCCTTCTTGTTGCCCGCAAGAAAGATGGCCACAGCATCACTACACTTCTGAAGACCATCTTGTTTTGTTTATAGAGCTCTTCAATCATCAGGTCACCGTAGGTGTCTTCTCCAGCTGTTGCTCTGTTCTTTCTCTTCACTCCGTTTACACTCACAATGTCCTTATTCTTTGTAGCTGCACTGTTCCCCCAGTTTGGGTCTGCTAGGGGGTCATTTGCCACTAGAGTTGCTTTTATAGGTTGAAGGTTCAAAGGGTGTTTCATCCTTTTCATGCACACAACTGCAGCTTGGAAAGAAGGCAAGAGAAAGGGCACTGCGTCCTCCTTGCCCCTGTCATGGAGACAGATGTCCTTGAAAATCACACAGAAGACGCAGCCCGCTTTTAACATCTGGAGTTGGAGCATCTGCTGTTTCCTCAGACTGATTCTGTTGCTTTGGTAGCGTGAGGTGTTTGAGGCTTGCAGTACATTGAGGGGCAAGGAGGGATCAGCCTGGGAATGGCATCCCTTTAATCCATCCTCTAACGCAGGCCCAGTGTGGCTGCAAACTGGCTTGCGGGACTCAAAGCCCAAACAGGCTTCCTGCCAGGCTTGCTGGCCCAAGGTGTTCTGAGGCCTTTTCCTAAATCTGAACAGACACAGAGAGGTGAGGCACGACTTGAGAGTAAAAATCGGTGAGCAATTCCTATTCAAAGCAGCGCTCTCTGTTGCCTATATGACAAAACCAAGCTCCAAGCAAGTTCGGGCAGTTTCCCAAACAAGACTCAAAGCAGATTTTCTGCCATCCATGTGCACCTGAATTCCTCCTGGTGCTTGAAGTGAGTCTGCAACCCGATCATCTATTGACGTTTCCAAGATTCACTTGTCACTTTTTTCAGCAAACTTCATCTGGATTTCAGGTTGCCCATAAAACTTGAAAGCAGGTTTAGTAGCAAGAATTTACAATGTGAACAACTAGTTAGAAAAGACCTTACTGGGCCCCTTTGAAGGAGAACCTTGCCTTTAAAAATGAGTAAATAAGAGCCTCTACCTCTTTTCCTCATGAAACTTCGTTGAAAATATGGACAGTAATAAATCAACTGCTGAGAAAAATGGTAATGTACAGCTGGGCTCCACTCCTGCATAGCAATGATACTGGAAAAATCATACACATTTCCCTTTCCCTTCTGTGTAAATTGACCTTGCAAAATTTAAGCTCCAACTTCCTTTAAATGTCTTTTAGTTCAGCAACATCCTAAGATTCAGTCCACAAAGTTGCAAAAGTAGAAACAGGAGAGGAATTGGGAGAAAAAGATGCAGAAAATATGGCATCACAACAAGTCCTGTTCTCCCCTCCTCCTACAAGACAAAAATGAGTGTTGCTTGTTAAAATGTTCATCTCATATATGAAAACACTTTAAAACAATTCTGCAAAACTGTGCTTATGTCAAGGATCTGGCACCCACATTCACTTGTCTAATGTATGCTGACAGTGTTCTTTTATAAATATTATGACAACCAGGGGAAGAAGTTCTATATTGTTTATTTCCTCCCCACCATCCCCCCTTTTTTTTTCTCTTGCTGAAGGACTAAATGCTGTTTAGATTTTGTGAGGGAATTTCCATTGATTTCAGGGCATAAATTCATCCTATTTCCCAGGATATTTCCCCAAAAACAACAGTAACCGGTGAGAGTGTTTTGCTTGTGTTGCAATTCTTTTAAAAACCAGAAAGTTGAAAAAAAAATCTAATTTTACAGTGGGCATTATTAAATGATATATCTCATTATCGCTCTTATTAATGAATTACAGTTCTCCCTCTCTCTGGGTAAATGCAAAGGAATGTTCTTTTTTTTTTTTCTTAATTTCAGAGCAGGCCACAGGTCAAAAGGTGAAGGTTATACAAGCTGATTTCACTAAAAATTCAGTATACGAGAACATTGAAAAAGGTCTGCAAGGCTTGGAAATTGGTGTTTTGGGTGAGTCACTAAGGTCTGTTAATTAAAGAGCGTTTTATGGCTGCAGTGCATTAAGCAAAGAATTGTATAAATGATGTGTGTCATAACAACTTGTTGGCCAACATGTGAAACCAAGCACACAACTGCCTAACGCATTTAGCATTAATTATCTCCAACAAGTTTTAAAAGTGAATTAAGATTCTCCAAGCATTTCCCATTTCTCTGTATAGTGGCTTCTTTTACTGTGAAACCTTTTCTGCCACTTCATGAGCAACATCCAGCTTGTGGGGTGACTGCTTCCCTCTTTGGCCTCAAGGAATCCATTTTCTCTATGGGTTGTTTTACAGCTGTGTGCAATTCTCATATTCAATCTGAAACAAGCCTGTGGCTAATGCTAATTGGTATGATCCACATAGAAAAAAAAAGAAATATATATATATATATATTGGTTAACAAAATTATCCTTTTAGTAGTGAAACAAACAAACAGAACAACAACAGAAGAAACAAACAACTCCCCTAAACTGTACAGCAGATTGTTTTTTTGTTCCCTGTAGTCTATACCAACCAGTGCTGATGACTTCATTAAGAGTAAGACTTGATGCTTGCTGAACGAACACTGATGAAGCAGCATTTCTGTTCATGTACAGCTTAGAAACTCAGTCTTGAGGAGAAGCCATTTGTTTAACTATCTGAACTGCACACTTTATCCAGATGTGGTTCTTATCATTATGTTTCCTTTGATTAGTTAACAATGTTGGAATGCTTCATAATCCTCTCCCGTGCCGTTTCCTTAATGCACCAGACATAGACGAGGTAGGATTACTCCATGGTTTTCTATTTCCAATATAACAATTATGCACCGTAATTCTTCTTAACAAGGGACAGATTCTGTCCCTACTACAATCAGTGGATATTTAAGTGTTCAGTTGTGTGGGAAAACTACTAGGCCTGATGGAGCATCTCCTGATGTGTTTTTAACGTTCAGAAAAGCTTGCACAAGAAAAAGAATGGTATAGTTTAACTAAATTGCTGCAGACACTAGCAATATAAGAGCTGGCCTGGCCACAGCAGAGATCAGCAGCCTCTCTGTCTCACTGCTCTCACGTAGTGTCATGGGGGCCAGCCAGAACATTCCTGTTATTAGTATAAAAAATTATTTCTTTAAGACACTGTTGATTTGATCTGTGGGAAAATAAAAAATAAACCTTGCTTAAACATGGTTTACTTTGGGGGGAGGGATTTATTTACACACTTAGAATAGTTTGACGGAATTGTGGACTTGATTCTTTGCCTTATTGTTGTTTACCCGTACAGTATTAACCACGAAATAAACAGCTTCCAAGTGTATTTCTTGCTAAACCTTGCCCCAGGATCCATTCAGTCAAATTGTCAACAACTGCTACAAACCAGAGATCCCCAAGCTGGCTCTTCCCGCAGTGTCACAGCGATGTGATGGCACCTCTGCTGCTGCTACAGCTTGTGTTTGTCTGCTGGTTGTGGGATGATACCTCTACACGGCAGTGCTTATGCTGTGTAGATGGCTTGTTAAAATGGTGCTATTTCTGCCAATGGGAGCCTGGCATCTTTGTAATTTGTGTGTCCTTTGGTATGCATCTAGCTAGGTTTGCTGGTACAGCCACTGCTGGGACACCACGATCCCAGGTATTGCCATGTCCAAAGACTTGTCTGCTTGTCTGGGCAAAACAGAATGCACTTAATCAAAGGGATGCAAGGCAGATTTGGATGTCATGATTAGTAAAAATAAATAAACAAATAAATAAATTCACTCCTCACCTGCCTTTGGGTATCTTACATAATAGGCATAGTGAAAAGCCAAGGCAACCCTGCTTTGTAAGGAACTTGGAATTGCTAGCTTTGCTATCTAGATAAGCCACACACTCTCTGAGGTTATCTATAAACTTTATGTTTTCTTGTTTCCTGTAGAACCTTGTCAACTGCAACATTATTTCTGCTACAAAGGTATGTGCCACACACATGGCAAGTCTGTAACTTATTTCATTAGAAAAAAATTAGTCCCACAGAAGAGTGACTGATTAATTTTCCTGATTAATTTCATTCAGTTTATCCAGAGAGGTATTTTTTTTTCGGCTGTAAAGTCAGCAATGTTTTAAGGACCCTTTTGGATTCTACTGCCTACAAAATATTTTGATCAGTTGATTGGGAATGTTTTAACACTGTTTCTTGGTTGACGCACATCATTAAAATGTAGCTGAAACATTTTGTAAAAACATGATAATTTTGGTAAAGAGAAGATTTGTTTCAAAACCAACATCTACAAGGCAGGAAGGTTTATAGTACTGTACTTTTTGTACTGTACATGAGTTTTTGACAGACAAAAAACATTTTTCTATCAATGTAGGAGAGAAACTTCAGGAGTTGACTCCCAATTCAGGATTGTTACCTCTTGGAGTTAATTTTGGTTGGCTACTTCCCTTACAAGAACAGTTAATATTTCATGCTTTGAAATTCCTATTGCTCTACTGTTTGCAAGCAGCATGTTAACATGAACAAGAGCAGAGCAAGAGCTTTGTAGTTCATCTCAACCTTGGCAAATATCTTTCTAAACATGACATGAAAATTATCAACAGATGTTCCCCTTTCTTTGACTAGTAAACTTTACCTCCCAGATTTGTAGTGCTGCTTGATGACTTCAGATAATAGATCATGTAATATCAATCAGTTTAAACAAATTATTTTATAAACTAGTTTGGTGGACTTTCCACTCCTAAGTTTTATTCCGTTTATTTGGTGAAAGAAGATTGCAGTATCTGAATATTGAGTATATATGCCTCACAAACCCAGCCAAAAGTTTTGTACCTTTGCAGTCTGGATCCAAGGTGTCCTCCACTTACCACTTCAAGCCTTATACATGCCACAAAATCAATATCTTCCACTTCCCCAAGGCTTGGTGATACAGCTACAACCTTAGTGTTACAACCACTTGGTGATTCCATTCCCTTAGTGTTCCAACCACTCCCTTTTCACTTCTTCACAAAAATTCACCTTCCACCAAAACACAAAGAAGAAATCATGCTCCTCACCACTGTTGCTCATGGCTTGGTCCCAATCATGATTAATTTCACACCCACTGCCTTATCCCTGACTTGACTGCTGGTAGGGTGCTGCTCGTCTCTTCTTGCAGTAGGATGCCTGAGCTCCAGATACTCCTGTATCCCACAGATATCAGCGGGATTTTCAGCACTGAGAAAAGGCAGGAACTTTTCCTGTGTTTTCCACTTTAATTGGAAATTCTTCTTCACTCAATTTAATGTGACCCATGCTGTCACCCTTTCTGAAAATGAAGCTTGCAAAACCAGCCCTGCTTCTACAGTCCTGTTGTGCATGACGACACTACTGGGAAAAAAAAAAAGTGAATCAACAAGGACTGAATTAAGTTGCATCATTCAAGAACTGAACTAAATGATATCTTTCATTTTCTTTTTGTTATAGCCCTTGACAAGTTAGGTCACAGTCTTATCCTGTGAAGATTCATACATCACATATGTTTATAAAGAATCAATAGTATGAGTATGAATTCCCTAGGGAGTTAGGCTTAATATCAAGAATAATCTTCAAATTAACAGGCAGCAGGTAATTTCTTACCTAAAAATGGACTTAATTGCACTTCAAAAATTGAAAGAATTATTCTAACTGTTGTTAAAATTGAAATGCATGTTTAAATAATTATAATCAAAAATGGTCCTAGAGCTTTTCTGGTAGGAGGGAAGGAGAGGAGACTCGAGGAGACTCGAGGAGAGGAGACTCGAGGAGACTTGAGGAGAGGAGAGGAGACTCGAGGAGAGGAGACTCGAGGAGACTCGAGGAGAGGAGAGGAGACTCGAGGAGAGGAGACTCGAGGAGAGGAGACTCGAGGAGACTCAAGGAGAGGAGAGGAGACTCGAGGAGAGGAGACTCGAGGAGAGGAGACTCAAGGAGAGGAGACTCGAGGAGAGGAGAGGAGACTCGAGGAGACTCGAGGGAGAGGAGACTCGAGGAGAGGAGACTCGAGGAGAGGAGACTCGAGGAGAGGAGACTCGAGGAGAGGAGACTCGAGGAGAGGAGAGGAGAGGAGAGGAGAGGAGAGGAGAGGAGAGGAGAGGAGAGGAGAGGAGAGGAGAGGAGAGGAGAGGAGAGGAGAGGAGAGGAGAGGAGAGGAGAGGAGAGGAGAGGAGAGGAGAGGAGAGGAGAGGAGAGGAGAGGAGAGGAGAGGAGAGGAGAGGAGACTCGAGGAGACTCGAGGAGAGGAGACTCGAGGAGAGGAGACTCGAGGAGACTCGAGGAGACTCGAGGAGACTCGAGGAGACTCGAGGAGACTCGAGGAGACTCGAGGAGAGGAGAGGAGAGGAGAGGAGAGGAGAGGAGAGGAGAGGAGAGGAGAGGAGAGGAGAGGAGAGGAGAGGAGAGGAGAGGAGAGGAGAGGAGAGGAGAGGAGAGGAGAGGAGAGGAGAGGAGAGGAGAGGAGAGAGGAGAGGAGAGGAGAGGAGAGGAGAGGAGAGGAGAGGAGAGGAGAGGAGGGAGAGGAGGGGAGAGGAGAGGAGGGAGAGGAGGGAGAGGAGGGAGAGGAGAGGAGATTTTATTTTCATGATTTTCTGCTACTTCTAATCCAGGTAGAGAGAGAAGCAAAAAATCAAAAAAAATGTATGAGGTTTACTTTTTCCTTACAGTTATGATTCAATACCGAAGATTTATAAAATTCAGATACTGTTAAAAAACTGTAGATAAACATAAAGTTTTAATTGCCTAAGAGACTAACCTTTGAAATTTTTGACAGTTCAACTGATTGACAGTCCATTAGCTTTTCAAAAATATTTTCCAAAACTTTGAATGTTCCACATTTTAGCTGTTTGAACTGTACATGAATGTCTGAGGCTTAAGCAAATAGGAAACTGTGAATAAAACAAGATGAATGAAAAAACGTAATTGGAATGAGGGAGATTTATTATAATTCTTAACATACTTGTCTTACAGATGACACAAATAATTTTGAAACAAATGGAACCAAGGTAATTTTTTCTTTTTTTCAGAACTTTCACTTTGTTTTAGTTGCTGCCTCCACTTTATGCAGTGTTAGTTGTGTTTTTTCATTATCAACTTCTGCACTTTATGGTATGACGATCAGTAAGATTTACTTCTGGTGCTGTTAGTTCTGTGCGAATGAATGACAGGAAGTGCTACAAGTTTTCGGTCAATTGTAGAATGAGACAGAGAATATAAAATTTTGGTCTGTTTGTAGCAAAAACATGCAGGTGTTGCAGAAATAAAATGGCATGTGATGAGTCTAATTAGGCAAGCAACTATATTTGAATATATTGTCTTATTTTTCCAGAAGAGGTAGCCATGCTTGGAATATTACTTTTAAAGCCCTGGAAATACCTGTATTTCCTCCAAGAGGTTAATTCCGCTCTGTAATCCCTTTTGTCCTTTTAACAAAATGTGATTGTAGAAACATCCTTAAACCAGAAGTTAATGTTTTAAAATGAAATTTCTAGAAAACATTAACTACTACATTTTAGAGGACAGTACATGCTTTTTGTTTTGGCAACAAAATAAGCTCTCACTGTTTAATTGTTTTGTTTTGTTTTGTTTTTCCTGGTTGTTTTGGAATAAATTGGTTTTAGTGATTTTTTTTACAGGGAGTTGTGAATAGGGAAACTAAAACAACAGATGCATGGAACAGGAAAAAGAATGTGCTGGCTAATGAGCAAAGGGGACCTACCAATTACTTAGGAGCATAAAATCTTTCCTCTGATGGCAAATTTTGCTCTGTTAGATGTACAATAGCATATAAAACATTCCTATGGTTCTGACTGCACTAGGCATTTAAGTTTCACTTATGCCATTATTCTTAGCTGCATTAGACTTAATTGCACCTAAAAAAAATAATAATAGCAAAAAAAAAAAGGGTCTTTTGAGAGTGTAGTCTACAGTATTAGAGAGAGCTCTGCCTTTGGGGGGAAAATGTTGAATTCCACTTATGCAGATTTTTACTCTAATGCTGTATGTAACTATTTAAATTCAATTTCAGACAGAAGGGTCTTATTCTAAATCTGTCCTCTGGTCTGGGTACTTTTCCCTGTCCATTATACACAATGTACTCAGCTTCTAAGGTAAGTCTTTCATATTGCTTTATGAAGAACTCTTCTTCAAGTGTTTCCCCAAAAATTTATATCAGCAATACAGGGCTGGGTTTTCAGTTGACATAAATGTATTGTTCCACTGAAATAAGGGAGTGATGTGAATTAGCACTAGCTGAGAACCAAGAGTAGGTATGCAAATGAAATCCAGCTGAAGGTATGTCTCATCTTAGGCACATTTTTGCTGTTAATTAAATTGTGTTATACCAGTGCTCACAGTCTGTCCTCACTGAGGGAAGTGGTGACTTTTACTGGACTAGCTTAGCTAGCTTGCTTGAAACTGTAGATACATAGCAGTGTTAGATTTTGCTTATGGAGTCAAGAATAAAAACCCTAGTAGCTGGCTGGTGAGTTTCCTCACTTCCTAGATTTCACTTTAAAATACTACTTTGAGTTGAAACCCCAGACCTTATCAAAGTGAAAAGTTCCTGATTTTCACTGAAACTCCAAAAAATGATCTACTCAGATCAGGTTTATTTCAAATGAAAAATTCTAACAATATTTGCTTGAACATAGCTGAAGTTCAGCTTGGTAAGAAAAGCTAGTTTTTCTTGGTAAGAAATTCTAGTTTTCCATTTCCTCTTTCTCATTTTAACATAAGTTTCTCATTACTCAAAACTTGAACTACATTCAAGCCAGTCAATTTTTGTTCCTTAGAAAAGTTTAGTTAATATTATTTCTAAGTGATATGGTATATTGCTTGTTCTATTTGGACTTTTTTTTTTTTTTTTTTTTTTTTTGAGTATTTGCTACCTTTATTTCTGAGTACTTTTTAAATTGACTAATTCTGTCAGTGCCCTGAAAGGAAGCTATTTTACTTGTCAGCATATTGTTGTATCATGCAATATCATGAAGCTATTAGTGTTTAAATTGCAAGGCCTCAGCCTCAGCCTGAGGAAACAGCCTCAGTTTTTCTGCTTAATATAGCTTTTATACTTGTAATTACAAAGGAGGGATTCAATGTTGTCAAGTTTCAGAATATTTCTAAAATCAATCCTTATATAAGAAAGTCATCTTATACAATATAAGTTAGTATATATGTAATCTTTGTAATGTGAAGAAAAATTTAGAAAGATAAACCCTGAAGGCTGAAGCTGAAAATAGACAAACAAACAAACAAACAACTGCTCAAATATTATTTTGCAAATTATATTTATAGGCTATGATCATAGGTATACCTTGAAGGCATGAGTTGTATTTCACTCCCATTTTTACTGCAAGAAAAACTGCCTTGTAAACCTTGGAGTAGGAGGGTAGATATCAGCCAGAGATGACAGCCACATGCAAGAGAGCTAATATTATAGGACTCAGATATTTTTATCTCTTGCATTTTCATAAATATGACAAATATTTCAATCCGGTCTGCAGTAATACTTACCTGTTTGATGTCTGGCTTGGGCCCATGCCATACTCCATCTTCCCTCATGCAGGTAGTCAGTCTATTTGCTAATCTATAGCTAATGTGGAACAGCAAAATATGTGTCTTGAAAAGATAATTTCTAGGTTTTTCAACACTCTCTGTGCTTGGTTGCATGATTCTTGTTCATTTTTTGTTAAGGACTCTGTATGAACATATTTGCAGGTGTATGTGAAAGTGCATAGTTTCCTATGCTAATGTTATTTCGTTTTATTTTATTCTAGGCTTTTATATGCACTTTCTCCAAAGCACTACAAGCAGAGTACAGGGCAAAGGGAATTATCATACAGGTGGTACTATATCTCGCCACACTTGTCTTCGTTTCAACTACTTTTTCAAAAATTGTCTGGGGTGCCTAAACTTCTGTCTTGCAGGCTTTCTTGGTGAAGTGCTGAGTGACCCTATCAAAGCTTTATCTTCTCTCTATATGCAGATATAAACATTTTTCCTTATTTCACTACAGTGCCTTTATGCATTCCATATAGTCCCTTAATCCATAGGAACGATTTGTCCAATGCAGTGAAATTCCTCAATGTAAATGGCCTTATGTGAATATTCGATGACATTGCACTGCTATTATGTTTCTTATTTTAGGTAGTGGCTCCTTATGGTGTTTCTACTCCAATGACCATGCACCAAAAACCTGGTCTTATTACAAAGACGGCAGAAGAGTTTGTTAGTGAATCTCTGGATTATGTTACTTTTGGAGATGAGATTTTTGGATGTTTGGCCCATGAAATACTGGTAATTGAATTTGACAGTTTGTAAATGGGTCCCCAAAACTGATTCAAGGCTGTCTGGACTCAGTAGGTTCTTCTGACTGATTCTGGAATCCTCAAGGTTGGATTTCCTTAGGATAACATGCTAATAAAATAAATATGTATGTATGGCAGCTGTTAATGATGAGCATAAAAGTATAGGGAAGAGAACAGATCTACTGATAACTGGGAGGAATGAGCATTTCTCTCTAAGAGAAACATTCATACTAAAAGTATAAAGGAAAAGTTTTTGCATTTAATGTTTTCTATGACCTTTCTAAACACTTGGTTAATTTCTTTCAAGAGGTGTCTGTAACCCATTGTCTTCCTATTGTTTTTGTTTGATTATTCTAAAGGCCTGTGTCCTGCGGCTGATTCCGTTATGGGTATTCCACAGTGACCGCCTTCAAGAAGCAGTCCTGCATCTGTTCACCAGTTATCTGAAGAAAAGGTGGAGGAAGCCCTGATATCATTTTCTTTCTTCCTTTTTTTTTTTTTTTTTATTTTAAGATGTGCAATGGAAAACCCCAACAGGATACATTTTACTGTGGCTCTGTGTGTGAATGTGGAAGGAATCAAATCAGTTGGAGGCATAACTCCACCCAAATCACCAATCCAGTGATCACTGACTGGATCCAATGTATCTATTAAGCAAAATAATTACTGTCCCTTTCCAGCAATTTCTGGCCTTTAGATAGGTTCTAAGAAATGCTGCTGCTATTTTGATATAAGCTTGGTGGCAACAGATATTTATGCTTATTTGTTGTTCACAAATAAAACAATAATTTGCTTTATTCCCAAATTTATTCAGAATGTGTTTTGATGTTTTCAGGGAATGTTTTGTGCCTTTGGTTTCTTCTGAAAAGACAAGGAAATTTTTAGGAGGGAGGGAAAAAAAAAAAAAAAGAAAAGAAAAAAGAAGAAACTTTCTAGATATAAAGTAGACACCGGAACTTTGGAAATCTGCAGTCATATAAAATGTGCTTCTGAACAGAGGCTATGAATGACTTAGTCCTCTGCAACATCTGATATGGGCTGCAAATGCAGAAGCATAGGCAAAAAGATAGGCAGTAATTCTACATTCCTGGATGGATTCAGAAGGCAAATCTTTTGGTTTCAAATACCTACTCATTCAGATGTACTTCTGTTTGTAATAAATCAGGAGTTTTTATGCATCTTCTCATTTTGAAGGTTTATTTTACTTCTGCTTTCCAAGGAACTTTTCCCCTAAACCTGCATTTAGATAGCAAAGGCTTTGCTAATAAAAATAAGTATATTTTGGTGTTTGATCAAATTATGAGGATGAGTCTTCGTAATCTTTGACAAACAGGGTGGAGAGGAATCACTAAATGTATCCTACTGGGTCCAGAAATTTCTGTATGCTGCATTCAGCCTAGTAACAAATCTAGGCAACACCACATAGACTTATGATACAATATCATATGGTCCTAACTTTCTGCACGTGCCTCCTATGATTGTTGCTGTAATTTTCACAAAGAATGACTAAGGATTACACTGAAATATTTGAACTAAGATAATGAAAATAATGATATATAAAATGATAAATACTTTTCCTGCAGTACAAACAGATTTGATCATAAAAAATCACCTTCTTCAAACGGGTGAAGGAAAGGGGGACCCTTGCCAAGTCTTTCCATTGAGTTCAATTAAACTTCTTATATATTTGTGTGCTTTCATGTAAAAATTGAGAATGAAAGGAGAAGGTCACTTGCAGACCAGTCCTAAACACAGCATTAAAAAAGACATGTTTATCCCCTAAAATTGTGAAATTTTAATATATTGCAAATATTCTATATTTTTGCTGTTGTTGTTTTGAAACTTTGAAAATAACATGTTAAATGCTTTTTCTATGGCCCCCAAATAAAAGAAAACAAAGCATTTGAGATATTTAAGATATATATAAGATTATATAAGATAAAATATTTAAGATATTTAAGAGGGTAAGCTCCAATTTGTACATAATGACATGAATCTAGAGTTCAGTACTTTAATGAAGACAGAAGTAAATGTATATCTTGATAAAACTATGTCAGTGTCAACATTATCATCTTGAGATGAGATTTTGAATGAGCTTTTTGACTGTGCTGCAAATGAAATCCTGTCTTTGAGCCAGACTCTTGAAGGACAGTAGAAAATGTGTCAAGATGGGGGAGCACTGTAATGTCATGGTAGCAATGTGTGCCTGGGAGGTCATCCCTGTTAGAAACCTTTATTTATAGTTCCCCTGAGACAAAATACCTGCAGTTATATCTGCAGGAGATAAAGCTTAATAAATGTCATCTCTAAATATCATGTTCCAAGAAGATGTTTTGCCTAATAGTTTTAATGGTCTGTAAGTGGAAGCTTTAGCTTCTACTTTCTGCATGTGGAAGTGTATATATCAAGATTGTTTTGATGGTTTTTAAGACAGGAGTGAAAGAGACATTCCTTTTGGTATTGTTAATCATCATTAGAAATAAAAGCAGAGGACAAAGTTTTTAAAAAAACAGTTCTGTGGTTCAGGAGTAAGAGTTTCACTGATTCTTAGAGTATGAAATTAATTCAGCCTTTTCAAAATGTTTTTTACTTTATTTCTCATAGGTTGTGTCTAGTCTTAAAATGACAAGATTCTGTTCTTTGGAAAAGGAAGTAATTTCTTTCTATGATAGTAGAATTATTATTATTATTATTTTTGAAAACACCTTTTGTGTTTTATGTCCACTGTATCTCATACCCTTTTTTAATTAAACAGGCTCTTATTTCTGTATGGTCTCTTGTATTTTCTGGCTTTGTATAAAATACTTCTTCAAATAAAAATACTACTGAATAGTACCACCCAAAGTAGAAAACATCAGGAAGTGAAAGTGGGACATCTGTTCTAGACATTTCATCATTGCTGATTTGAAAAAGAAGGAATAGGAATGGTTTGTTCATCACTTCATAAAGACTGTTTTCCAGTGATTAAACTGTATCCTCCTAAGTGTGATATTTGTGCAGCTGTTCGGCAAATAAGTATTGACTATAATGTATGATAAATATTACATGTGGGCCAAAAGCTGAAGTCCCTGAGAGAAATGTTGATTCAATAAGAGGCCTGAGTGTGGAATGCAGGGGCTGTGCTTACCATTGGTATAAGTGCTCTGTCCCCATGGATGTATATAGCACGAAATGCACCACACCTATTCTCTCCTTGCCTCTACACTCTAAATATTCATGAGGCAATGCCTATGGGCAGCTCTTCACATGTTTGCTTTATGCATGTGAGTAGTCCCATAGGGGTGAAGGGACTCCTGCAGATAAGTGGCTGTGTCTGCTCTGCTCACATCAGTGGCAGTCATTTTACAAATTTCATGGCAGCAGTGACAATTCCTGAAGACTCTCCTGCGTGCAGCTTGGCCTGATAGCACCTAGTAGAGCTACATGCTCCCTCATTTTATCTTGGGTTTTTGCCTTAGTTACCTAACCCAGGTTGAAGAATACCTTTTTACCCTCTACACAATGATAAAAAATCTGTATGTTTGCCATGAGAAACAAATAACAGCTTATCTGATATACAGGGACACTCATAATGTATTGTAGCATTGGCACAGTCAGAGGTTAGTAATCAACACAGACTCAGTTTCCAAGGCTTAAAAGTCTTATAATCCACGACAAGTGACATTTCCATATTTCTTGTCTCAGTTTTGTTTATGCTTGTGCATGCCATGTGAGTCATGCAGGCTGTTGCTGAAGTTGAGCAATCGGCTCAGCGCAGATTTGTTTCTCTTGAGGAACAGGAGGATCTTGTTACTTGCTGCTCTTGCGTGGCCACTCTATTAGAGAAGCCATGTTTTGACCTTCGGGCTCGTTATTTTGTGTAACGTGAGGCTGGGATCTTGCTGACTTGCAGTCTTTGGGCCTTCTTCCCTCACAGTGCATTCGTTAACCACCCATGCCTGAGCCTGGGGGAGTAGCAGTTGTGCCTTCTGCTGTATTTTGTAGGCCACCTGTCTCCTCTGAGTGTTGACCAAATACCACAAAAGATGTGTCAGCTGCTCTTGCTGACAAACTTGGCCCTGGTTGATGGAGAAACAGAAAGTGGGGCAAAAAGGTAGAGCTTTTCACAGCCTGGGGAGTCAGGGGAAGAACTGCAGCCTGGCCTTTCTGCTTCCTCCACAGCAGCACCTGTGTTTTGTATTCGTGATAAAGCATAATAGTAATGCCTCCAGCTGCTGCATTGCACACTGACAGAGTAGCTCTCCAAGGACTTTACAAGAGAGCTCAGTGTTGCTCCTGTTTTACAGAGCAGGAAGAGGTGTGGGGAGGCAAAACAGCACATGCCAGCATTTAGTCAGGAGGAGGAGGATCCCAAGGAGGATCCCAACCCCAGATGTGGGGGTTATGCCTCAAGGCCACAGGGTGTGAGTAATGGGAAGCCTCCATGTTTCATGTTTCCTTCAGCAGGAAGCCATCTAGCTGGCCCTGTGCCCTGCAGGCCACCACAGCCACAGGACAGGCCTCCTGGTACACCTATACCTGGTGTCTGCCCAACACCTGATTTTGTCTCAAGTTGTGGCTGTGTGGTAGAAAAATGCCAAAAAAAACAGCCTGTAGACCCCATTGCCACAGGCGCAGTCAAAGGAACAGGCTGCCAACAGCCTCAGCACCCTCAGTCCGGGTGTCTTCATGGTGTAAGCCCCTTGGCTATGGCTGCAAAGAGGGCAAGGAGACACCACTCGGTCTGGGGGCTGAGGCAGTCACCCAGGCCCTGTGGGGTGAAGGCATTGCCTTAGTGTTAGCACAGCCTGGCAGGCCCTTCAGGAGTGTTCCTAAAAAGGGTTTCTCTGTGGGTATCCCAAAAAAGCTGAAATCCACACCAAACAATTCGGGGTTCAAGAAAAGGCCCGAGTTTACAGAAAATCAGATCTTTTTGATTTTGATTCAGGCTACTTTTAGTTATCACAAGGACCAGCAGTCACTAAGGGCTTTGAGTGTGTAGACCAGGATAAAATTGTGGATTATGTGTTTAAATTTTGACTGATGATGATGATGATGGTGATGATTATTATTATTTATGTATTTATTTATTTTTATTTTTTAGTTCCAAAATCTCTGCTGTTGAGTAAAGAGTTTCCCAGCTAAAACAGTTTACAGTCACAGAATGCAAACAGTACAGCTTTGACTCACACAGATTTTAGTTAGTGAACTAGACTCATGCTTAGGCAAAGGAGACAATCTCAGCAAAACAAAATTCAGTTAGTAAGTCTGCAAGGCTACTAGATTAATGAAAATAAGAACTATTCAGTGCAAGATAGCTTTTAACAATATGATGTACTCAATCAGTGGATTACATCAGAAACTGAGTCAAAGCCTTACTTTTACAAAGATTGGAGCTGCAAATCTGTCTAGACAAGCAAATTACATCAGGAGAAAAAAAAAAAAAAAGGAAAAAAAAAAGAAAACTCTAAACCATTGAATCCTAAAGTTGTAAACAGTCTGTTATCAAGACTGGTAACACAGACAGGGCCCTACTGTTCTCAAGGACCACCCACAATGAGAAAGAATTTGATATGGCAGCTTGCCTGAAAATTTTATTTGCTATATACTGGTATGTGGTAACAGCATGAAGGAGTTGTCAGAGTGAGGAGGGCTTTGCTGAGGGAGCAGCTGATAGGATTGGCCTTGACAGTGACTGCAGTATGCACTTGAGAAAATGTCAGTTCTCCTAAAACACACAGAGAAATGGAGAGGTTGCAAATGGCATCCTTGGCAATTATACTGTGTCCTCTCATCTTTTGCTTATAACAGTACTTCAGGAACCTCAGATGAATCACAACCTGTGTGTAAAAGGCCAATATTTTATTATTTTATTTTATTTTAATTTTATTTTATTTTATTTTATTTTATTTTATTTTATTTTATTTTATTTTATTTTATTTTATTTTATTTTATTTTATTTTATTTTATTTTATTTTATTTTATTTTATTTTATTTTATTTCCAAAGATCTTTCTTGTTTAAGAGCATACTTGCAGGCACTATGCATGCTCTTTAAGCCATGATAGTATATATCTTGGTACATTTGGGCTTCTGGGGGTGAAGGCAGAGTTCAATATTGCATCTAAGAGTTTTCCAAAGTGAGACAGACTATCAGTCACTGTCTGTGACTGCAGCAGAAGTGTGGCAGACATCT